ATGCACCGTTAATCCCTTCATTGGTGTTTGGGCAAGACCTCACTCCTGTTGAGGAGGCTCCAGGCCATGCACACTGCTCTGGCCGAGTCTCACTTGCCACTTAGGTGATGATGGGTGTTTCCTACCTCTGCCTTGGGGCCCATGCTCAATGGCAGTTGTGTCTGCCCTATCTGCCCCAGTCCATCTGCAAAACAGTCGCCCTTTGACTGGTTTTGCAAGGGAGAGCATCCTCCTACCATCACCCTCATCTACCAACTCCAACCAAGACATGCCAAGGTGCAATTAATGGACCCCGATACCCCTAATGGAAGAAGCCCCAGCTCTCCCATAAGATTTTCAACAAGCCTACGGAACCCTCAACCCCAAAAGATCACAAAATCACAGAATGGTTGAGGTTGGAAGGGACCTCTAGAGATCATCTAGTCCAACCTCCTGCTCAAACAGGGACATTCAGAGCATGGGACATGGGGCATCCAGGTGGGTTTGAAGATCTCCAGAGAAGGAGACTCCACAGCCTCTCTGGGCAGCCTGTGCCAGGGCTCTGGCACCCTCACAGGAAAGAAGTTCTTCCTCACATGGAGATGAAACTGTCTGGGTTTCAACTTGTACCCATTACCACTTGTCGTGTCACTGTCCACCACCGAGAAGAGCTTGGCCCCATCCTCCCTACACTCTCCCCTCAGGTACTTGAACGTGTTGATCAGATCCCTCTCAGCCTGCTCTTCTCCAGACTAAACAGGCCCAGCTCACTTAGCCTTTCCTCATACAACAGATGCTCCAGTCCCTTCACCCTCTTTGTGGCCCTACATTCTCTAGCAGCTCCATGTCCCTGTTGTCCTGGGGAGCCCAGAACTGCCTCCAATGCTCCAGGTGCCTCCCCAGAGCTGAGCAGAGGGGCAGGATCCCCTCCCTCGCCCTGCTGGCAACGCTCCTCCTGCTGCAGCCAGGAGCCCATTGGCCTTCTTGGCCACGAGGGCACATTGCTGCCTCATGGGTAACTTGGTGTCCACCAAGACTCCCAAATCCCTCTCTGCAGAGCTGCTTTCCAGCAGGTCAACCCTAGTCTTTACTGGTGCCTGGGGTTATTCCCCCCAGGTGCAGCACCCTGCACTTGTCCTTGTTGAACCTCATGAGGTTCCTCTCTGCCCAAGAGAGGATGCCCTTGCCTGCCTCTCAGCAAGGCACAACAAATCTGGACAGCCTGTCTTGCTCACTGGGCAAACTGGTCAGAGCCTGGCAACGTCCCCTCATACCAATTGAGCCACAGAGAAAGACAGGGTGAAGGGTCTTCTTCATAGGAGAAATAGAGGAAAGATTGCAAAAAATCACCAGTTCTTCCTAACGTGGTCAAAACTTAGTGCATCACATCATCCACCGCAACTCCGTCATGCCAATTCCTTGAGCCGTCTCCTGGCCACCATGGGTTGGAGCAGGGAGACTGCATCCCAGCGGGAGATCCAAGTGATGACCAACCGCAACATCAACAGGAGGGAACGAAATTTGAGGCAAGCAAATCAGCGCCTGGCTGAGCCACACACCAGCAAAGCAGAGCGAGATAAGGGGGAGGAGTGAAATGGAGAATCAATAAATCTTAACCTCATTCACAATGATCTGGAGCTCTTATTAAGTAAATTAATTTAAGTTAATTTAACTCGATCATGACTCCCGATCACAGTGATTTAGTGAGGGGGAAATTGCATTAGGAAAGGCCACACTCACTAGATAGAAGAACGGAAGAAAATTAGATCCACTTAGCAATGTGAATTAATATGGAAATAGCAGGTGTAAATTTAACCTTATCAAGAGAGTGAAAATTATCTTCATAAATTTGGAGGAATAGCCCCCGAGCTGCTTATAAATCTATTTAAAACAAAAATATTACAAAAAGTGCAGTAAAATTAATTTAAAATATACTCCCACCTACCGCCTCTGGAAAAGTCAGCGGCGGGGCGAAGTTGAACTCAATCCAGGGATACAGGGGGAAAGCACCACAAGATTAGCGGGGGCAACCATCGGGACCAGCGGCGAGTCATCTCATTTCTCTCATTTCCCAGGGATGTATCCATTACCATGGCCAAGCCTATGGTCTGGGGGGAGTTTGACGGCTAAGTGGGGCTTGTAGGAGACACCCGTCAAACCAGGCACATTCCTGGATCTAGGAGCATCTTCCAGATCTCTGCTGGTCCACACGCTGCATCCTCAGCTAGGAGAGAAGTGCCTTTGCTTCCAAATGTCTAAAATTGGAGTCAATCCAATGCAGAAAGCAGCTCCCAACTCAACGCTTCACTCCGCGTTGCACATCCAAGGCGATGTGAGTGACAGCGGAGCACGAGAGGCAGGAAAAACAGGGAAAAAGGTGGGGGCAGAGAGGCGCTCGCCACATGCTTTTGCCGGATGATGGATCGCGCGCGACACAGGTAGCAGCCAGACTGAACATGCAGATTTATTGCTGCTTGAAAATATAATTGTTTTAATTTGCTGATGGCATTTTATCAAGATTTGCCCAAAGCGGCCATAAGATCTAAAATCGCCTCCTTTAATGAAGTCAAAGATTAATACGGATAAAATGACTCGGTGAGCAAGTGCTCTCAGCAGGACAGCGCAATTCCTGCTCCAGAGAAATCCCCATCACAACCCAAAGACCCTTTCCCTCCCATCAAGTGTCACTGGCTGGAAAAGTCGATGGCAGAACCTCCTCCACCAACCACGAGTAGGGACAAACTCCCCTTCCAGGAATAAAACCAGGACAGCAGAGGAGAGAGATGAGCTCAGTCCAGGTCATATTTTCTCTTTTGAGGCCCCAGCAAGTGAAACATTAAATGCAGAGAGACCCTGAAGAGAGGTTTTGTCCTCACCAAAAGCAGAGAGAAAAATCAACCTTCTTGTGGTTTTCCTGACAAAAGAGAAAAATTTGCAGCCAACACAGCAACAGGGGGGAGAAGGGGCATTGCAAGCATGAAAAGATAGGAGCAACCACCTCCACAGAGCGTCCTCCTACTGCAAGATTTGCTCAGAACTGCCAGGTCAGGACCAGAAAAGTGAGATGCTTCCCAGACCAGCAAGGACGAGCTTGAAGTCAGTAAGGGGATGGGAGCACCCACTGGGGACAATTCGCCTAAGGCCACCTGAAGGGTCTGGAGGTGCCATCAGACACCGAAGAGATGGCCAAGGGTAAAGAGAGGAATGTTGGTCTGAGGAGAACCCCACTGTGAGACCATCACCAGGAGAAAGTCATCCAGACAAACGTTACACGAACATGAGAATATGAGAAAAAGCCTCTTGGCTGCAAGGGTGACACAAAACAGGCTGCCCAGAGAGTGGGTGTGGAGTCTCTATCCTTGCAGCTATTTCAAAGCCACCTGGATACAATCCCTGGAAAGGCACATGAGGTGACCCTGCTTGAGCAGGGAGGTTGGACTGCATGATCTCCAGAGATCCCTGCCAACCTCAATGCTTCTGCAATTAGCAGGGTAATTCCATCACTGAAGCGCATCAAGACTGAACTATGGCAGCAATTTTACATGTAACCCTGGGGCTAACCTGAAAACCATTTATCCCTGAGCATTCCCTATGTTTTAAAGGCATTTCCTACTTTTCTCCCCAGCCCTCCAAGCAGCTGCCACCAGCAGAGATCATTGCCGGGGGAGTGACCAGAAGCAGAGCCAGGATTATCCCTGCGCCGCAGGAGCAAACAGGAGGCGATTACAAGCTGCGAGAAACAAATCTTCATTTGCACACGAAATACCAGGCACTGTAATTACCAGCAGCAAATTATGAACCTCTGAGAAGCAATACAATTTCAGAGTTCACTGTAATATACTTGTAAATTCATGATGCAAAAGCCATACTTTAAAACACAAACAAAACAAAAAAAACAAAATGCTTCTATTTTGGCTAAAGAAGCAGCAGAACAATTAAGTGCTGGATGGCTTCGCTCTCTATCATAGCGCGACAGCACCGGGCAAACCAGGACTCTGTCGGGCAGATAAGATACAAACATATGTTATAATGGTGCAATGTAAATGCAAGGGCAGGGAGTAGGAAAAAGAGAATTTGTGGTTTGTTTGTGGAAAGGAAGAAGCAGGGGAGGTGGCACCTACAAGCAGAGCCGCAATCGTACAGAAGGAAGCAAAATGGATGATTTGGAGAGGAGTTAGAGGAGATGTAGGGGTCTCTGGAGTAGAAAATAAAAGGTGGAAGGATACTGTTATGCCAAAATGAAGAAAATGAAGAAAAGCCATAGCGGAGGAGAGCCAAATTCTCCTCACCCAGCAGGTTGGCACTGCAGGAGGACCAGGATGCCAACAATGAGCAGCAGTGGAACAACCCGCTCTCAGCCTTCTCCCACGAACAGCCAGGACCTGATTCAGGGCCAAAACCATGAGTTGAGTTTCGAACAGCACCATCAAGACACCCCTTGGTCATGCCCAACTTCCAGATTTTGCCTTGGTCTCTGAAATATTCTTTGGTATATTTCCATAGGTAATTACAGGTCAAGTTTGGCAACCTTCTGCCTCTAACGTTTTTCATAAGCTCCTTCTTAGCACCATATACGTGACAACACTATGGAAAGGAGGACAAGCCTGGTCTTGGTAGCAGGTTTGACCCACGTTCTATCAACAAGACTCGTCTACCTCCAAAACAGGCAGCAAGTCTCCTAAAGTCATCTGGAAAGACTCATATTCTTTTATGCAGCTTCCTTATAGCTTATTTAACTGGCTTGTGGAAACAATTAATTCAAATGGGGAATAAATATGGAGCAACAGGCTGGGATAAGCTGTTTGCCACCGTCTCGGCTCAGGCTAACATGATTACTAACGAGATTTTACACTTTAAGGCAATAAATTCTGCACAGAAGCAGCTAAACAAATAAAGAAATTAAGTCATTCTTGTGACTTTTATAGCAAAGGAATATAATGGAGCGGGGTGATGCAGCCCTTGAAGCCAACGGGGCCTTGGGCCCTAACTGGGCTCATCGATGGGATCATCACGAGAGTTACCTGGACGTTGCAGAGCGCCTCATCTTCCAAGTGAGAACAGGGCTGTTGAAGGAGGACAAGGCACCCCCGGAAGACGCCACGTTCTTCTTCACTATCCTGTAGCGCGTCTTGATCACCTTGCTGCCCGGGGGGCTCCGCACAAAGTGCACATTGGTCCCTGCAAGAGAGCAAAATGGGGGAAAAGCGGGACTGAAACCGAGGGGCACGTTGAGAAGAGGCGGACAAGGGATCTACTCAACCTCCTAGGGAGAAGCACAGCTGCTCCAGCCTCAGCCGGAAAACAGATCCCTCCTGGACGATACCTGGATTCCTGACATCTCCATTTGCACCAGATTTATATGTTTAATCATCCCCTTTTTTCCACAGCGTTGTGCAACGTGCGTCCAACTCAACAGAGAGACGGTGCAACTCCAGTTTGGCACCGCTTGATAGCCGGCAATTTTCGTCCACGCCTTTAAGGAATGCATCTAATTGCTCGACTTTTATAACATACGGCTATAACTGCCCAGATAATTAAAGCTGACATGACACGCTGAGCCCAAGTCCTCTGCTTTTATAACTGATTTAAAGGGGGCGGCTGTTTTTCTTGAGGAGACTCTCATTAAAATTATCGCAAGGTTCAGAGCAGGGGGGGGAACCCGGAATCGTTATTTCCCCTGAAAATATCAGACCCATCCCATGTTGCGGAAGAAGGGAGCACAGGGTCGCTTCCCAAGCAAATGATATGAAATAAGGGGCTGCCTTGTCGTCTAAAGGCAAAAAAAAAACAGCGACCGCATTGCAGGTTTTTCCCTCTGTTTTTCCTGCGTGTCCAGGTGCAATTGAGCTCCAAAGGGAAAAATCCACCCTTTGCAGCGTGGATTTGCACTGCCTAAGAGTTAAAACCTCTGCCGTGGCCTCGCTAAGCCACAGATTTAGCCTCCCGCTGCCAATGGAGTTTCCCGCACTCCAAGTACCAGGGAAGCGAGGTAGAAATGCCGCATTGCCAAGAAAGACATCCCACCCGAGTCACCTAACATTGGGATCCCCGGGACTAACCAGAGCTTTAAAAGCAAGGAAAGAAAAAGAAAGGAGAGGTTGGAAAAAAAAGGACAGAAAGCAAATTAATTTTTTTTTTTAATTACACTATTTCCCAGCGTGGAAACTTTTGCATTAGACTCAGGCACCACCCCTTGCCCCGACCTTGCAAAATAAATAAGGGGGTGATAACCCGAATCCCCCCTGCAATATTATTTTTATTTTTCGGCCCCTTTGCAAGCTCCAGCTGCGGCAGCTCCGCGTGGATCCCTGTTCACCCCTTGCAGTAACCGGGCATTGAGACATCGGCATCGCCAGCATCCTGCAAGTGCCTCTCTGAAGAGCTCGCTCCTATTATTGCTTGCTAGCGGAGGGGTTTTGTGTAGATAATCATGTTATTTAGATAGGCGGGTGGTTTAATTCCCTTCATTACAGACTCCCAGGGCTGCAATTTTTCCTCTCTCTCCCTTTTTTCCCCTGCCGCGGGATGTATTCCCTGTGCTCCACCGTGATCCCGGCCTCGCCGCTTTTATTGCCAGCAATACCCCGGCGTCCCCCGTTATCAGCCCCGCGCACGCGCCCGCAGGTCACTCCTAATGACTAATCGATCTCATTAGCTTTCCTAATTAAAAACTTTTACGGCCGCGCAGGAAGACAAACTGCGAAGGGAAAAAAAGGGAGGAAAGGAGGGGGAAAAAAATTCTGCTTGCATCATTCGCCAACGGGATATGAGTCCCATTTATCAGCCGGAGTCCGGCGCCCGCGCTGCTGAGCTGGTGCTTTGCTCCTGGTGCTGCTGGAAAAGCGCGATCCGGATGCACTTCCAAGCCCTCCCTTCACCTGGCATTCTTAAATCTCATAGGGAGGCCCTGGTCTCCCCTTGCAGCCTCTCCATCCATACGGAATCATCAGTGGGGTGCAGGAAATGCTGCTAAAATTCCCATTTCTCCTCTTTCAAGAAGTTGCAGCATCCCTGAAGAGAAGGGATGTCCTGGCATCCAAACAGGATGGAAACCCAGCAATCCTGCAAGTTAAAACCCCAAATCCCACGTCGTCTCTCAGCTTTCCCACCTGCAAAACAGGTGCCTCGGAGGAGGTGGGTTTCAAGCTACACTTTTTAAGGGCAAAGTAAACAAAATATGTGGTCAGGTCCGTTACAAACCGCTGCAAGATGTGATGTGCCATGTAGGTTTTTTTTTTTCTTTTTCCCAAAATGCTGCAAATTATAAAGCATTCAAGCAGGTCAAGAATGTTGATATTTTTTCAAAGGAAATAAAATAATCCCAAGTATTTTCCCAAGGTGTTTTAGCTCTTAAAATCCCTACCTCTGAACTGAGAGCAGCCAGGAGGGGTTGCGGGAATTTATGGGAATGGCCAACAACCATCAGGGAGATGGGACATGGCTCCAGGCACTGACTCCAGGCCAGATCTGGGGGAATAAAATTTAATCAGTGCTGCCTAGATTGCAACTTGTTTCGGCATCACCCATTGCACCGGAAACTCCTGCAAAATTCCAGCACGGAGTGGCCCGGCACCAAAGGCTTTTGTTCTGCATCCCCGCTCAGCCAAGTTCCTGGAGTTGACAAAAGGCTCCGGGATTACCCTAATACTGTTACGAGTTTAGTGTGAAAGCAGACGCCGGTATTAGGGGGGCAATTACCGCCGAGCACGTTCAATATGTTCGCGCAGAATGGCGCAGCGAGAGGTTAATTATATTGCTCCAGGAATCTGCTTCCAAAAGGAGCAGCCTTTGGTAGCGGAGGGGGGAATTGAATTTTCCACGCTCGTTCGCTTCTGAGCTCTTGCAGGAGAGGCAGCTATTTAGGACGGCGTAAATGGCCGTTTATGATCGCAAACGGTTGCTTAAGAGGAATTAAAGCACCTCGATCCAAAGCGCTTTCTACCTGCGAGCCCAAGCGAGGCTGCTGCGCCGCAACGTTCGCCGAGGACAACAGGAGAAGAAGCTCTGCTGCTCAAGCGTTTTGGGCAGTTTTCAAGTGGATTTTCATCTTTTCCTGGCACAGCCAACGCTTTGAGCTGGCAACATTTGGGGAATTGATAGCAAACCTGCTTCACTCATTCCTTAGGTTGAACGGAGCATGGGCAAGGAAGAAGCAAGGATGGAGCAACTCATCGTTGGCAAGATGGCACTCGCTGGAGAGCAACTCTAAGGAGACCCTAATTTTAGCAGGGAAGGTATCCAAAAAATCCACATAGAGTATTAAGATGGACTGTACATGCACACCAAATATTAATGGCTTTAAGTGAGATCTGGACTTCTGATTCCTGGAAACACAGACACAGCAGGGAGAGGATCTTCCCACAAAGGTTGTCATGGACAGTCTCAAAAACTCACCCAGCCAGAGCGAGTGATAACACTTCCCAAACTAGCTTTTCTGAGGAGTTTCTCATTGAGATTTTTTGGCAAAAGTCTGACTTGGTGTATGGCACTGACCTGCAAGAGGGAAGGAGTAAAGTCTTTACAGGATGGAAACTGGAATGACACTCGATGGTAGGGTTCTTCCAGAAGAAGTCTAATCATCCCTGGTGAGACACAGTTTCCCTTTCACCAAGTAAGTCAGGATTTGTTTCAAAACCATCACGATTCTTGAAAATCCCCCAGTTTCTCTGCTCAACAGCAATCCGGCCATCAGGCAAGCCCAGGTTTGTCTTGCAAGAAGGTGTTTCTGGGTCTCAGCCCTGGAGAACAAGGGCCCTGGAGCTTTCAGGAGCTGTCACCCATCTTTGCATTGGTGCTATGTCACAAAAAACTCAAGTGATTTCTGCTTTGATGACTGGGATGACTGAATCCCCCAAACACTCAAATATTCGGGAAAAATCATTTTTCCACATTTTTCTTCTTCACTCTGTCTGGAAGTCCTCAACATTTACAACATCCCAAGCGCTCTGCAGAGTCCACTGCTGGTGAAGGTTTCTCCAGGTGCCAGGAAGGACTCATCACACCAATCCACGCCAACAACCTCATGCACTGAAGCAGAACTCTGGGGACATCAGTGCCATGTTTGCACGGGGATTACATATTCTGGAGGCCATCACATAGGCACAAAGCTTACCCAACACAAAGAGCCTCTCTTGCTCCCCCGTTAAAAATCATCTCCCGTTGACTGGGTTTCACAGAATCACAGAATGTTTGAGGTTGGAAGAGACCTCTAGAGATAATCCAGCCCAACCCCCTGCTCCAGCAGGGACACCCAGAGCACAGGGCACAGGGTGGCATCCAGGCAGGTTTGAAGATTTCCAGAGACGGAGACTCCACAGCCTCTCTGGGCAGCCTGTGCCAGGGCTCTGGCACCCTCACAGGAAAGAAGTTCTTCCTCACATGGAGATGGAACTGTCTGGGTTTCAACTTGTACCCATTACCCTTCGTCCTGTCACCAGCCACCACCGAGAAGAGCTTGGGTCCATCCTCCCTACAATCACCCCTCAGGTACTTGAACATGTTGATCAGATCCCTCTCAGCCTTCTCTTCTCCAGGCTAAACAGGCCCAGCTCACTTGGGCTTTCCTCATACGATAGATGCTCCAGTCCCTTCATCATCTTCGTGGCCCTACACTGGACCACCTCCCCCTTGTCATGGGGAGCCCAGAACTGCCTCCAATGCTCCAGGTGCCTCCTTAGAGCTGAGCAGAGGGGCAGGATCCCCTCCCTTGCCCTGCTAGCAACGCTCCTCCTGATACAGCCAGGATCCCATCAGCCTTCTTGGCCATGAGGGCACATTGCTGCCTCATGGGTAACTTGGTGACAACTAGGACAGTTTCTAATCTCCAACAGTTTCCAATCTCCACAGTGAAAACCCCTGAAGATCAAGCTGTTCTGCACGGAGGCATCAGATGGACCGAGGGCTGGATTCTTCCATGCCTCACACACCTCACTGCTGTCTAATGTGTCTACAAAGAGCTGGATTCAGGGATGGCCTCAACAGCCCAATGGTCAAGCTTGCAACTCGGAAGAGGTGAATGGCAAAGATCTTGGAGCCGGCGAGGCCGTTCCTCTCATCAGCACTGCCCTTCAGCAACTAAAAAGCAAGAGCATCCGTACATACGTTCACACTGAGAAAGTTGCCAACGCGGAGATTTATTTTATCCACCTCTCAGATCCACCTATCCATCTTTCCCATCA